AGTAGGGGTTGGTTCAATCATTTCAAAGTGACCGCAAATTTACTTAACATTAAAGGGCAAGTACGAGTTGTCTGTAAATTGGACGATCATAACTCGGGAACTTACTGTAACCCCATTTCCCACTGGGCCAAAGGAGGCCAGAGCTCTTGAGGGTGAATGTCAGCAGCAAGTGCCAATTAGGTGCTGGCTTGAGGTTCCAGTAGGCCTGGCCTGCCACTACCAGAGGCTTGTTGTTAAAATCGGATCTCCTGACCTTTTGTGAGTGGGCATTCTTGGGAGCTGAGATGTTTGTGAACCAGGCTCATCGACTCTCAAGTTCTTGTCACTGGCAAATGGTTTGGAGGGGAGACCTGGAGTTTCTGAATTTGTGAGGTAATCAGGGGAAGGGGATCTGGTATAGGGGGAAGGGAAACTGTAAAATCATTTGACTCTAAAATATTTGCGTATTGCTAGGCTGAGGGCTAGCAAGGAACCATAGCCATGGCACCTTCATTGACCCCTGGCAAGTTGCTGTGGGAGTGGAGGGGACCCCAGCTACTTTGCAGCCTCAGCCTTCGCCACAGGCTTGATGAATTTAGTATGCTAATTAGGAGTGTGCCAAAATCAGAGTAACTCTCCTCCCTAGGGTGGGCCTAATTTTTAGTTTTTTTTTTAAAAAATACACCCTTAGACAGAAATTTCAGGACACCAAGTGACCTAAAAATCAGTCCAAAGGTTATTCTCCTTCACTGCACAGAACCCGGGCATTTTCACTTTGGTTCAGTTGCCATCTGAGGCAGTTCATTCTTTTCACATAACTGAGCAGATTTGGATTTCCCAAAATATTTTGGAATGAAATAAAGGGGTTTGCCCTGCTTGGTGAGGGTAGGATTTTAGCAAGCATCGATCTTTCTGAGAAAGGGGTACACACGTGATTAACTTGAGAATATTAGTAGTCACAATTTATTCCTTCCCCAAGAGGAGTGGGTCAGTGTTTCCATGAAATCTTGCTCACCCTGCTAGCACTCATTTGAGTTTAAAAGTGCTAGAGGTGCATTCTGTTTCTCAGAATTAGAGTGTGAGGAGGTGATGGTGGGGGAAAATCATACTGAGAAATACAATTCCTTTTTTGCAGGGATTCAAAATGTCTTGCTGGACTTCAGGCAAGAAAGATTCTTTGGCTCAGTACTGATAATAACATCACCCCCCCCACCACCACCGTCTTATATTGAGGATTTACTGGGTGCTCACTTTATATTCACCAACTAAATTCCCATGGTAAACTCAGGGGTGGATTAACCAGTAAGCATGGTATGCACCGGCTTGCATGGAGCAAGTTACTCTTGGGCTTAATTGCATTCACTTGCTGATCTGTGGTGAGCAGTTTCACATGGGTTTCACCACATCTTTGACGTGGTGGGGGACAGGTGAAATTGTGCACTGCAGATAGGTGGGAAGTCACAATCGGACCCCTGCGTACCTTGTTTATTGGGTAATCCGGTACTGGACCCCCATATTGTAGGTATTGAAGACTTTCACCAACTTCTGCATCTGAAATTGCTCAAACATGCAATCAAGATGTGTTGATAATTACTGGTGATTGAAAGCAAAAGTTGGAAACAAAGAAGGATCAGTAGTTGGAAAATACGACCTTGGTGATAGAAACGATGCTGGAGATCGCACGATAGAGTTTTGCAAGATAAATGACTTCTTCATTGCAAATACCTTTTTTCACCAACATAAACGGCGACTGTACACATGGATCTCACCAGATGGAATACACAGGAATCAAATTGACTACATCAGTCGGAACAAGGCTAGGGCTGACTGCAGAACAGACCATCAATTGCTCGTATGCAAGTTTAAGTTGAAGCTGAAGAAAATTAAAACAAGTCCATGAGAACTAAAATATGACCTTGAGTATATCCCACCTGAATTTGGAGACCATCTCAAGAACAGATTTGACACACTGAACACTAATGACTGGAGACCAGACGAGTTGTGGAATGACATTAAGGACATCATACACGAAGAAAGAAAGAAAGGTCATTAAAAAAGGAAAGAAAGAAGAGACCATAACGGATGTCAGAAGAGACTCTGAAACTTGCTCTTGAATGTCAAGTAGCTAAAGCAAATGGAAGAAATGATGAAGTGAAAGAGCTAAACAGAAGATTTCAAAGGGCAACTCGAGAAGGCAAAGTAAACTATTATAATGAGATCTGCAAAGACCTGGAGTTAGAAAACCAAAAGGGAGGAACATGCTTGGCATTTCTCAAGTTGAAAGAACTGAAGAAAAAATTCAAGCCTCGAGTTGCAATATTGAAAGACTCTATGGGCAAAATATTGAACAATGCAGGAAGCATCAAAAGAAGATGGAAGAAATACAAAAAGAATTGGTCGACATTCAACCATTTCAGGAGGCAGCATATGATCAAGGACAGATGATACTGAAGGAAGAAGTCCAAGCTGCACTGGAGGCAATGGGGAAAAATAAGACTCCAGGAATTGATGGAATACCAATTGAGATGTTTCAACAAACAGATGAGCGCTGGCGGTGTTCAGTCATCCATGCCAAGAAATTTGGAAGGCAGCTACCTGGCCAACCAACTGGAAGAGAGGCATATTCATGCCCATTCCAAAGAAGGGTGATGCAAAAGAAATTATAAACAATATCATTAATATCACACACAAGTAAAATGTTGCTGAAGATCATTCAAAAGCGGCTACAGTAGTATATCGACAGGGAACTGCTAGAAATTTAAGCCAAATTCAGAAGAGGACGTGGAACCAGGGATATCATTGCTGATGTCAGATGGATCTTGGCTGAAAGCAGGGAATACCAGAAAGATGTTTACCTGTGTTTTATTGACTATGCAAAGGCATTCAACTGTGTGGCTCATAACAAATTATGGATAACATTTCGAAGAATGGGAATTCCAGAACACTTAATGGTGTTCATGCAGAACCTGTACATAGACCAAGAGGCAGTCGTTCAAACAAAACAAAGGGCTATTGCATGTTTTAAAATCAGTAAAGGTGTGCATTAGGGTTGTATCATTTCACCATACTTATTCAATTTGTAAAGCTGAGCAAATAATCTGAGAAGCTGGACTATATGAAGAAGAATGTGGCATCAGGATTAGAGGAAGATTCATTAACAATCTGTGATATGCTGATGACACAACCTCGCTTGCTGAAAGTGAAGAGGAGTTGAAGCACTTACTGATAGAGATCAAAGACCACAACTTTCAGTATGGATTACACCTCAACATAAAGAAAACAAAAATCCTCACAACTGGACCAATAAGCAGCATCATGATAAACAGAAGACAGATTGAAATTGTCAAGGATTTCATTTTACTTGGATCTACAATCAACACCTGTGGAAGCAGCAGTCAAGAAATCAAACGATGTATTGCATTGGGCAAGTCTACTGCAAAAGACCTCTTTAAAGTGTTGAGAAGTAAAGATGTTACTTTGAGGAGTAAGGTGTGCCTGACCAAAGCCATGATATTTTCAATCGCTTCGCATGCACGTGAAAGCTGAACAATGAATAAGGAAGACTGAAGAGGAAGTGATGCCTTTGAATTATAGTGTTGGCAAAGAATATTGAATATACCATGGACTGCCAGAAGAACGAACAAGTCTATTCTGGAGGAAGTACAGCCAGAGTGCTCCTTGAAAGTGTGGATGGTGAGGCTTTGTCTCACATAATCTGGACATGTTATCAGAAAGGACCAGTCCCTGGTGAAGGACATTAAGCTTGGTAAAGTGGAGGGTCAGCAAAAAAGAGGAAGACCCTCAACGAGCTAGATTGGCACAGTGGCTGTAACAGCTCAAACATAGCAATGATTGTGAGGATGGCGCAGGACTGGGCAGTTTTTTGTTCTGTTGTATGTAGGGCTGCTATGAGTTGGAACCAACTTGCTGGCACTTCACAACAATTATTATTCACTGTAGTCCCTGGGTGGTGCAGATGGTTAAGCACTCAGCTACTAACTGAAAAGTTGGTGGTTTGAATCCATCTAGAGGCTCCTCAGAAGAAAGGCCTGGTGATCTACTTCTGAAAGATCATAGTCATTGAAAACCCTATGGAGCACAGTTCGTCTGATGCACGTGGGGTAGCCATGAGTCAGAATCAAATAGCAACTGGTTCTTTAAATTTATTTATTTTAATGATTCCCATTTTTCAGATAAAGACATGGAGCCTTAGGGAGGGTAAGTTATGTGCCCAGATGGTACAGCTAAGCCATCTGTCTGCAGTCTGGGCGTTAAGCATCGAATAGTTTTTGGCCTCCGTTGGTGTTTTCAAATGTGCCGGTCTCTGTTAACTCAGGATTTTTGTATTGATTGGTGGAGCTGCTCATTTCCACGAATACCCAGCTGTGCTGTCTGCACCCTCTTCTTAAAGTGAGGTCCTTGGACAGGCAGCCTGGCAGCCCCTGGCACTTATCAGAAATGCGGAAAGCAGGTCCTCCCGGAGTGACTGTATCACAACAGCCCCAGGCACTTGCCTGCATATTCAAGTTTGAGAAGCACTGCCATTTGCTACCATAGAGGAATATATCCTTCACTCCCTTCTCTTCCGTGTCTAATCTTGTCTAGTAATTTTAAGTTCTTTAAAAGTAACAATAGCTCCAAATGTCTTACCAAGAAGTACTCAGGTGCAGAACTAGAAGCCTGGCGTAAGAATTTCTGGGCATCTTTGAATTTCTTTTTAAGGAGAAGTTAAAGAAAGCAAGCTCTAGCATCTAAAGACTCTGAATTTCAGAATTCACAGTAAGGTTTAGGAACCCTGGTAGCGCAATAGTTAAGCTCTTGGCTGCTAACCGAAAGGTTGGCTCTGAACCCACCCAGTGGCTCCGTGGGAGAAAGACCTAGAAATCTGCTCCTGTAAAGAATACAGCCTAGAAAACCCTATGGGGCAGTTCTACTCTGTCACATGGGGTCGCTATGAGTCGGAATCAACTTGACGGCACTTAACAACACAGTAATGCACAGCTTTTACTACATAGGTACAACCGAGACCTGGGGTTCAGAGCTGGCGCAGACTCAGTTCTTGCTGCGTGGCACTGGGCTGTGTTCCCCGGGGCAGCTGCAGCACAACATGGAGCTAGCCCTGTGGTACAATCCTTGTTGATGGCGAGGAGTGGTGAGAACCAAGCTGTCCACAGCCCTGGTTACTGCCAAGCCCCACTTGCCTGCCTGCCAGCAGGATTCTAAAAATGCATCTTGGGAATTTGAACGTTTGGCTTTTACTGAATATGAAATTCTGCTGTGCATATATAGCCTTGATGAGCTGACCCAGCTTGGGGATAACGCTGATGTTTTGTGTCTTACACAATTCAGAATCTGTTTCTTGAAGAGGTTAATAGTGATACCATTGAAAGGACTGCCTCTCCTACTCCTCAACTTTTGTCCACCCCCCCACCCACGCACCCCGGTGCATAGGTCCCCATTCTAAAATTCCCAATAAGGTAGTTCACAGTTCTGCACACTATTATAGGATTAGAAGCTATAGTATGAGTGGGGGGCAGGAGGATTCAGAGTAAAATCAGGCTTTCTATGAGGTTGTAGAACCTGGGTGCACTTGGGGTATTGCAACTTTCTGGCCCCCGAAAAAGGCAGCTTCAAAATATTACTTAAGAAAATGGAGGATCACTGAATGCTGCCTGCCACTTCCGCCCAAATTCCATGACCTTGCACCCAGTGTTTCAAAACTTATTCCAGGTAAGCTTCAATTTTGGCAGAAGAATGGCATTAAACCGCCATCTCCGTGAGCAGCAGCAGGAGCTCTGGTGGCACAATGGCTACACACTCAGCTGTTAACCGAAACGTGGGTGGTTTAAACCCATCCAGCAGTGGCGTGAGACCTGGTGCTCTGCTCCTATAAAGATTACAGCCTAGAAAAGCCTATGGGGCAGCATTACTCTGTCACATGGGTTGCTATGAGTTGGAATTGACTCGATGGCACCCAGCAACACCGGGAGCAGTAGAGCATCCTTACTCGAGTCAGACAGATCTCGGTGTGAATCCTGCTGTTAGCACTAGGACGTGGCCCTTACTCCAAGTTTTCATATATGCATATATATTTAATTTCAGGTTCAGTTTATTTTTGATGTTTCATTTTATCACTGGGTATACACATAACATGCAGTTTACAGAAAGCCTGCATCCCTAACCACCATGGACCTGCAGTTTCCTCATCTGTAAGAAGGTACATGGGGCTGCTGTGAGGCTTGAGTGAGGGGGCACCTGGCAGGTACTTAGCACTCTGCCTGATATATAACAGGCAACACAAAGGCTGGGGCACTCTCTTCACACCTCTTAAATGTGCTCTTTCTCGAGTCAGTATTTTGGTGGCTTTCTGAGCTTCAGAATAGTAAAAGACTAATGTTATTTATCTGCGATGATCTTATAGACTTTGGAAATGTACTTAAGTAAGTTTTTTAATTTGCTTTAATTCCTTTGTTTCTATGAATTGTTTTAAAAGCAGCTGAGTATAGAACACATTTTTTTTCTAGCTACAACCATGGACAAGCCTAGCTTGTATGATTCCTTCACCTTCCAGTGACCTCCTGGAGACATAGCAACAAAAACATCCACAGTTAAAAATATTTTATTTTCAAGTTTACACAAAATAGTCATGTACAAAAAAATGTACACATTTCTCAATTTACATTTTAAAAAAGGACAATGGCAATTTCAAATACTTTCTGCTTACATGTCATGTAAACATTGTTCTGGGCCTATGTTAGTGACTAAAATTTTATCTGTTCTGGAACAGAGATGTATGTGACTTAACAGTTGCTTTGAGATTGAGAATTAGATCTGCCAAACTGATTTCTCAAGCCATGAACGCGACCATGGCTGGCCTGACTCCAACTTCATAGCAACATGAAGTTGTAAATGTACATGGATTTCTATTTTACATACACATCTGTGTAACTGTTAATTCTGATCTCCCCTGTATACATAACACATGGGGTCACCATGAGTGAGTCAGAAATCGACTCAATGTCAATGGTTTTTTTTTTTTGGTTTACTATCAAGGATTGTTTGTGGCAGCATACAGATGCCCATGGAGGCACAGTCTCCATCTGGGAAAGTCGCCGATGTCACAGTGCAATGCCAGATGTATATATTACTCTTGTTTGGAGCTTGCCATGTCAGCCACCATTGGAAGAGGTGCCAATATGCACAATTTAAATACATAAAAATTTGAAAATATGTTTAGCTGGTCTGTTGATAAAATGTACTCTTTAGCCTGAGAGGCAAGTGGGAGGAAAATGAAAGAAAGGAGTTTATAAAGGAAAGCACATTCCGGGTTCTGTCAAACACATGGGCTTCAGAGGAAACACTGCTTCAACATGTTTGTGTCATTTTTTCTCTCTCCTATGATTTAACCAAGTGAATAATGAAAAAGAACACGGCAAAGGTGTTGATCTTGGCGTAGAAAGCATCTCTCTCTATCTAGGCAAGCAAGCAACCAAACAAAAAACCCAGGAAGCAGTGGGTCAGGAAGAACCCCTCTTGGAAGCAAAATAGAATTTAGACAACTTGCTTTTCACAAAGCAGTTAACAGTTTATGAGTTATAACTCTAAATATACCATCAAATGTAGTAAGGTGTTTGTTATTAGCCTTAAGAAAAATGGCATCTTTGTGATCAGATCAAGAATCTTTAAAAAAAAATCAATCAACAAACTTTAAACTTTGGTTTTCATGTAAAACTGTGATCAGTTCTAGACGCTGGGCCCAATTCTGTCTATTGATAGTTAGGCAACCCCCAGACAGAAGCAACTTCAGTGACATCATGGCCACCTCTTCCTGCTGAAAAGAAACCTAAATATTCACCATAAAAGGAATTCCAGGTTCAACCACATTAGCAAATGCTCAGCCATCAGAGGCTCTAAGACTGAGGGCTCCAGGGCATCTCAGTGCAATATTTGTGACAAAACCACAGCCCTGAGCCATTTTTCCTGGGTCAGAAATGCCACACCTGGGAGCAGGCACACCGTGCAAGAGGCTCTTTGACAGCCACACAAGCATTGCACCATAATGAGACAAAGTAAAAATTACCCTGATGTTACAAATAGGGACACTGCTGACCCCTGCCTTGGCAATGACTAATAATCTTGTGACTTCAAACTGGCAACGAAAGTGACATATAAGAAATCTAAGTATTAGCTCACAATGCATTATAGGTAGCATTTAAAAACAATTTAGTTCTTCAGTTTGAAATTTGGTCTTTCATGAGAATTTTCCCTGAATTGGAAGATCACCTAGAGTGTGGGGGCTTGCTTCTACCAGCATAGGACACACTTTTGCTATCTTGAAAAACTTCTAAAACAGGGCTTTATACTAAAACTTGCACACGCACGTCTTAGCAAGTGACATCCTAAGTAAACGATTCAAAGATGAAATGCATTAATTATATCACCTTTAATATAAACATCTATTCCAATGTTTACTCCAAGTGAGCATAATAAAATTATAAGGCTTTGCCATCTCTTAATTCTTATAATCATATACATCAAGTTTATTCACGCTTAACCTTTACTTAACATTGTCATCAAATAACCCTTAATGTTTATTTTGTTGGCATGTGCTAATAAACATACATATTCCCAAGAGAGCAAAGGAAAAACCCCAGTCCAAAGTATTCTGCCTGTGTGAAGCCAATTAAGAAAGTGACTCCAGTGTCTTGAGGTCTTAGGCAGCAGAAATGGTTGCCGTGGAAACAAATTTGCCTTGGCATTTCTGGCCAAGCCAGAAACTACTGAACAACGTCTTCAAACAGAACCTAGTGTAAACAGATTCCGCCCCCGCCCCTGGCAACTGGCGCTCCATTCTATGAAGTTATTATAGATTATTAAAAATTACACAGGAAGACACAACAATCCATGCACAATTTATTTTACTATAACTGGGTGTTTTCCTTTTATTTAATCATACAAATTTGAATGGGGGGGGTTCCTGAATAATCTTTTTAGTTTACTTTTGCCGAAACAACAGATTTCAAAACATTTAGTAATTAATTTCTCCTATTGCCTTTAAAAAAAAATCCCGCAGCATATTTTTCAAAATATTCTTAAACAGATGTGCTTTAAAAGTTAACTGGTAATGATTTGATTTACATTATAGCTTATTTAAGATAACAATTACTTTAAGAGGGCAGACTAGACATGTATCTCTCTTAAAAAATACAATTTTTGGTCATGTGTATGATTCACGTTCAGATTTCAAAAATAGAAAACATCCTAAAGTGCATCATTTTATTTATTTATAACTCCTTGAAATTATAGCAATCTGCAATGTAAACAGTAGAGCAAAGAATACCAAACTATATTTTCATGTACATTTAAATTTGTGGGATTACGTACCGTCTTTAAGCGTGTGGATTAACACCCGGGCACTTCCAACACATAGCTCATGCTTCTACACGATCACTTTTAAAAGCAAACTTAAAGGCATTCTTTTTCCCCCAGACTTAAAAACAATTTTCAACTGACAGAGGAGAGCTGCCACCTCACTTCAGCAATGGAAAATGCTGCTGTAAATCCAATCTGACCACAGAGTTTCTTAAGAACCCGTTTTGAAACTGACAACTCGTCAGTACAGTTTTAGGTTTTCTTTCTCTTTTCTTCTTTTTATTTGGGAAAAAGAAAAAGATACACCTAAAGAGGGCAACCCTCAGGATACACAGGCGGGTATCCCTGATGTTCCATTCATCCTGCAACAGTATCTTCAAAAGGCAGAACCTGCTGAAACACATGGCCGCCATGCGCAGACACCTATGCTAGGACCCAGAATGGACACGCTGGACCAGAACCCACTTTCCTCAGCGTATACATAGAAGGTTAAAAAGTAGCAACAGATCACAAAGTAATGTTAGCACATTGAAGAGATGAATGATTTGGTGTCTTAAATCCCCTGGTCCCTCCAAAATGTCTAATATAGACAGCTTTGATACTCAGCATCATCTGGAAAATAGTGTGATTTAGATTCTGCTGCCTTGGGCTGAACTCTGAGGACTTACTTACCCTTCAGTTTGGAGATTTTTTAGTGCAGGTTTGCTTTTTTTCTTTGTTTTTAATTCTGGTAAGTACTCAGGAGGCTGAGAATGCAGGCTCCCTCTCTCCCATGATCCTCGACACTTAGGTTAAGAATTAGTCAAGACCCTTTATGTGTGGCTAGTGTCAAAATGAAACCGAGCCTCAAAAAGGCTGGCCTCACTTAGTGTTTGATGTTAAATGTCTTTTAAAAATCTTAGACCGATGAGTGCAGTCAATCTTAAGGAAAGAATTCGCCAGAGTCTTCACCCTGTTACCTGATTAAAAACTAATCATGAGTATAGCTATTGCTACAATCCCTCTGTTCTCTTCAGATACTCCAGTTCTAGTAAGGGACCAAACTTTCTGTCAGCTGAGGACATCCTGAAGAAACACACCATTGAATAGATGATTGCACTGCCATTCTGGGCAGATGCAGCTTCCATCTACTGACAGCAGAAGAGGAAAAACAAACTCACACCAGTGGGAAAGGCGCAGCTCTGAGTAAAGGTCACCAGAATGGCCAAGGCAGCAAATAGGGCTCTCCAATGCACGTCCACACTTAACGGGTCCAAGGAGAATATAAACCTCCACGGCAAGTTTGCTCTACAAAACGAAGTCCTGAGCTTGTTTTGATCACAGACAGAGAATGGTCTCATGTTTCTCAGTTCTCCAGGGAACGAACAGTGTATATTCTCTGTAGATGAGCGTGTCGAAATGTAGTGATTCATCACTGGTAGTGTTAGTAAAGCTTCCACTACAGTGTGGTGTGTGTGTTTGTATGTGTGTATGTGTGTGTGTGTGTGTGTGTGTGTGTGTGTGCGCGTGTGCACGCGCGCACATGAAGGAATCTTGATTTTTCCATTACAAAATTCCCAAGTCAGGTCAACTTGCCTTTTTCCATTTAGGCAGCCTCTCAGGCAGGCAATGGAAACAGGCGCCGATCCCAGTGGAATGGAGGCAGAAGGGCGGCATCCTTTGCAGGTCCAGGAGAGCCTTCCCTGTACTCTCCAATCCCAGCTTCAAGGCTGACTTCCAGTTTCTGCAGAGCAGCTATTTACCAGTGGAAGCAGCTGGTAAATTCACCCTGTATCTGCTCAGCCACCTTTGCCAGGGCTGGGGCTGCCTCCTTACATGGATTTGGAATCAGTGTCTCTCTTGCTGATGAGCACCTCCAAGAGCCTGAGTTTTGCCTTTATGTGCTTGTATTCGTTGTATTCTTCAGCCATAGGAGCCCGGTCTTCCTTCTGGACATTTCTAATGGAAACAAAGAACAAGAGGGCAGAAGATCATTTTCTCTCTTTCCTAGATGATACTGTTCAACAGGTGAATTATCATCATGAGGAAACTTTGCAATTTATCAGCCTTCGGAATCAGTGTTACCAAATGTCACTTGGTATCAAGACTAGAGCTGGATTTAGACAAGCAGTGAGACAGCTTCCCCCAGAAGACACCATGTGACTGGGTCTCTACGTAGTTAATTTGACACTTTGTAGAATGATATGAAGGACTAAGAAATACAGAACTTTTCTGTCTCTGCTCTTAAGTATGAGTTCACATTAAGCATTTCCATACACTGAAATCTTTTATTCATCATTATAACTTAATGCTTTTTCATTTTCATACATTTCATCTAATGAACCATTAAATTTCTAATAAGCTATTAGTATACCCACGATTTACACCTTTTTGAAAAAGATAGCTAATACTCCTGGGATTATAAAATTAGACTTAAAATTCAGCAGCTGGATCACATAGTACTAGTAAGCCTTGCCCTCATAATTTGCTGAACAATTTTCTACATATACTTTTTATATGAACCTATTGCTGTCAAGTTGATTCCAACTCATAGTGACCGTATAGGATAAAGTAGAACTGCTCCACACAGTTTCCAAGGAGCGGCTGGTGGATTTGAACTGCCAACCTTTTGGTTAGCAGCCAAGCTCTTAACCACTAGACCACCACGGCTCCTTTATATGAACAACTACTAACTGAGGGTCAAGCACTGTTCTTGGGTCAAGCACGGGGCTAAGCATGTTATAGCTATGATCTAACATAACCCTTACAATGACTTGATGAATATTTACTTCCCAATATTCTACACATGACTCCCACCAGGATTGGAAGTCAAGCGGACTCACTGCAAAGCAACTGCTTTTAACCAACACACAGTCTTGTGTCTTATTTCACTTTGAAACGCGAAAGTTAAACATTCCAAGACGAGGCTTCCTTTTCTCATCATTAAGGAGGAAATACGGGAAAGGCTTATTTAATTTGTTCAGTGAACTAAATATAAATGGATTTTATTTGTGCCCTGCCTTGTTCTAGGAAAGAATTCTAGGTGGCTTCTCTGCAGGAGGCTGTGATGGGAACAGCAGTTTAGGAATGCAAACATCTGATGCCTAGTCCTAGTTTTGCCCTTTGAGGGGTTTCATTCTGCGCAGACATGAAGTACTGTATTTTTACGTGAATAACACACACCTTGCCAATCCTCCCTCCCCTCATGAGGTATTTTCATAAGTGCCTTACGCTGCTGTAAAAAAAAATTAGCCTAGTGCGCTTACAAAACAAAAATACCTTGTGGGGGGAGGGAGCAGTTAGCAAACAAATGTAGAAGGACTGCGTTATTTGTGTAAAATAAGGCGATGGAACCATGTTCTATGATATCTTTAGTCTCTTACAGTTCTAAATATTTATGATAATACCTATCAATTATGCTTTCTTAAAACTTTTTTATACTTTTTCTTAAAACCTGTGCAGGTTACATAATTAAATGTTGTTGCTCGTGTATATCTGTACATGATGTGACTAAATGATATGAAAAAAAGAAACAGACATAAATAAAAAATATGCTTACAAAAAGATTGGGAGGAAACACATCAAAACATTAATCATGGTTTGTCTTTGGATATTACTTCTTTGGGTATTATTATTATTTTCTCTTCTTTACCTGCTTATCTATATTTTCTAAGTATTCCATAATGCATAGGAAAAGAAAAACAACATTTAGGTATAAAAATGTATATAAATCTTCTGAAAGTCATTACAGGACAGATCCAAATAAGAAATCCTAAAAATAAATTTATACAATAATTGAAATAAATTGGAATGTAATGCACTTTAAATGCCAAAGTTAATTTTTATGGTGCATTTATTTCCCAGTATTTTCCAGAAGTATAAAAGAGGAATTAAAAGAAACTATATATACATAGTTTAAATAATTTGGATTCAAATAAATTCAAAATGATAAAACTTAACTTCAACACAAGAGGTGCAAATCTATTCCCTGTTCTATCCCTGGGCATATGATGTGGTTTTGAGTACAACATTCTATGCAGTCACTTGCAAACAAGGAAGGCTATTTACTTCTCAGCATAATGATATTTGAGGATGATTAAATTATACTTTAAAACTCACTGGAGAAAGGCAACCTATCAACCAGATGGACTTACTGCTTCTCATAAATATTTCTCATTCAAACTTGGCACCTATCATCTTTGCTTTTAAAATAAGCTTAACAACTAGCACTATTTAGAGTCCCCTTTCCTTATTTCTCCCTCTAATTTCTTACAGAAAAAAAAACCCAACAGTGCTGTCAACTGGAGACTCAGCTTCAAGTTGCTCATTTCAGACTAGAATTTGATGTGACAGGTAGTTTTAAAAATGTTAGCTGAATCTGCATCAGTCTTGGACAGTATCCAACAGGCACTTCTTCCTGAGGGATGGCACAGACCTCATCATCTCAGAGTAAATCTCTTAAGGGTCCCTGGGCACACACCCATGGACTGGGCTGCAGGGAGGATGCCGAGCTGTGCCCATTTTGGAGGTATTCCACAGATCTGACAGAAGAGAAAGGGGATGGGTGTGCGCAGGGGAAGAGGGGAAACAAATGCACTACCTTCCATTTTGTCTGAAAAAACTGTCTTCAAAATCACGAAGTTTCTTTCTAATTCTTTTCTTTTCTTCTCTCATTTCCTGAAGGTGTTCCAAGAGTTCAGGTCTAATAGGGCAGAAAATGTCAAGAGAATTGCATTAAATCTAAAATGTTAGAAAGGTAATGAATGTGCAACTCAATGGGGTTGTGAAGGGGGAAACATGTAAATGCAAAAAATGTTGAGGGAACTTTAGGGTCAGCAGAATGGAGGTTTTCTATCTCTTGAAAGCCCAGATAGCTGACAATAAAAATAGCTTCTATAGGATCCTACTACTTATGAATTCTTAGGGCTTGTGAAATCCCATGGCGCTTTGTCATATTTTGCTTTGAGAGAAAGAGATGACATCTGTGCTCAATGTGTGTTAAATTATGAGCTGTGGAGTACAGAATTGCAAAATGCCATTTATAGAGACCTTCTGGTTGTCTAAGCAAGATCTCAAAAGCTCCTTCAAATAATACGGGATGAAGAAAATAAAAATATTGAGCCAGAAAATTTAAAAAATAATAATTTTATCCACATAAACAACCCTAGATAATTCGCTTGTACTTTGTCAGCCAGTTTATTTAAACACAAAGGCTAAAAATAAAATTTAAGAAAGTTGTTTTCACTGAAACAGTTTAACAACAATTAACAACAACTTGACATACATTGAAGCAGCGTGGAGATTGGAAAGCCCTGTGTCCTGGCTGCACTTTGATGGCATCATATCATCCATCGGAGAAATAAACCCATCAGCATCATCTTCAAGTTGGTCCAGAAAGGAACGCGCACTGAAATCAGTTTTCAGGGTGACTGTGAAGTCCAGCTTTGTGTTGGTATCGTCTTCTGAGCCCTCCTCTTCTTCCTGGAGATACACAGTAACCCCAATAAAAATCTGGTTATTTTTCTGGCACACTTACATTTGAAGCATCATTTAACAATCATCTAATTATCCAGACATCATATAAGTATGTTTCCAGTTTTGTCTATATCTATATTTAATAACACATTTGGTGCATTATGGATTATTGAATATTTATATGTACAATTTAAATAATACACACACTAAATGCAGCCACTCAGTAGGAAAGTAGACTATAAAACGTGTTCTCAACATTCAGCTTACAGCGCTATTAACACTCGTCAAGGCTGAGAGTAGGAAGAAACCACCATTGTATCCTAAATCAAAAGAGCCAGGAAAGCCTAAAAACTTCCAGCTCTGTGACAGCACATAACAAAACCCATCACCAGGAATCAGTGCCTTAAAGACTCTATTACTTGTGCACCTCAAAATATCTCTTATTATACTAAGAGCATTTTCAGAAATAGAACAATTCAGCCTTTCTAAAATATATTATTACAAATAAAAGTATATATTATAAATATTTCTAAAATAGTCTATGGCTGCTTGAAGCACAAAATTTTAGGAAACTTTTGAGAAGATGAAAACATTTATCTCCTCATTACTGGCATCATAAAATTCATAATTTTTTCTAAGGAGCTTCCAAGGGTCACAACTTATCTTCCAGCATTCGAGATTCTAAGAAAAGTATGATATTCTCTGTCTGTTTTGATGATAATGCCAATAGAAAAACAACGAAGTCAAACTAATTCTTAGCACCAATTTAAAGCTATGTAAGTCGAAGGAATGAATAACATCAGAGGCTGAAAGAAAGAATTTAAAAGGAGTAAATTTACTGTCAAAATGTACAGTCAGACCAGAAGAGAATATGTTAATATCTCAGAAAGTTAAAAAATTGGTTAGGAATACAGCTACACGAACAACAGAAAGTGTAGCATCAGTTGTTACAGTAAAATCTAGCAGCTTCAATGCCAAGGCAGCAAATAAATCTCAGGAGGCAGGCAGGAGTAGTCAACACAGGAAGTCAAAGGACAAGTTTGTAAAATGCACGTGGCAGATTTTCATTTCATATATTTTGGTGTGCTTATAATGGTGCCTCTGGAAGGAAATAAGGTGGACAAACAAACTAAACTAGAAAAGGATTATATGACTACAATGAAAGTCTTATTATGAAGACATGAAAGTAAAAGTGGCAAAAGCTAGGTGGCTTTTCCAAATTCTCTCAGCTATGGCTCCAGATCTTCAATCTCTTTACTTGGTCCATGGACGTCAATGTCTCATTTTTTATATTTATTAAAATTTACATAGAATAAAAATGACTTTTAAATTAATAATTCTTTACAATAAAATTTCTCCTTCTGGGGAGGAGTAACAATTCCTATCTATGGAGTGTTTATAAGAATTAACTGAAATAATGTGTGTAAAGTACCTAATAAGGTACCTGGCACACAGGGGGTACAAATAAGTGGCCAGGCTTCCCCCTCCTTGGATGAGGAAGATAAGGTGGAAACCACCTGACTATAAACTCAGCAGAAACAGGAATTTCAGCTTGTTGGTTCACTACTGTCCCCAGAACTTGGCTGATGTCTGTATATGGTAGGTGCTCAATAACAGTCTGTTAAACAGTTTGTAAGTCTGTTTTAAAAGAGAAATACAAATAACTATTATTAAGAGAGTATTAAAGCCTAAGACAGGTCAGAAATGAAGTTACAAAGAAGCACCTAGCCACCCTTAATGAAGTCAGGTGTCTTGGCCTTATCAAACTATCCCCCAGGGTTCTGAGAGAACTTAACGAATGTGAAATGTGCCATGCACATGGTGAGCACTCACTGTTCTTTGAGATGAAGCTAAACAAAACTACTCTCAGTAACCTTTGAAAATCATGGGAAAAAAAATATCACAATAGATGGATCTTCAAATTATAAGACCATAAGATTGTTGTGAATATTGGCTATATTCTAGAAGGAATTAATATATAGATAATGTATGAGTAATAGGGGAAAAAAAAATCAGTGACCAACAGTGACTAGTACTGGCTCCTTAAAAGCAAGTCATGAAAACTAACCATTCTTCCTTTTAGGTAGGATTAGCAGAATATCTGGATTTCAGTAAGGAGAAGGGTGGGCCAAATCTCCAAAAGGAAAGCTGACCGCCCAACTCTAGGCAGAATGATGATGCAATGGCGACGTGAACCTGGAGGGAAGCCTGTAGGAGGCTCCTCACCTGACCCTGCCTTACTCAGTATCCTACCAATCACCTGGATAAAGACATAAAAGCCATATTCACAAGATATGTAAATAATACAAATAGGTAGGGACATTTTATATGGTGGAATACAAAACCTACATTTAATCTATCTCATAAGGCTGACATATAAGTAAAAAAAAGAAAAAGAAAAATTAGAAAACTGTAAGGGCCTATAATTAGGGGGAAAAAAAAAACAAACCTGGACACACAGACAATAATCGACAGAAAAGGAAGCTGGGATTGCACAAGACCATAGCACAGTGTGAGTCAACAATGAGACATGGCCCTGGAGCAGTGGTTCTCTACTGGGGACAATTTTGTCCCTTAGGAGATATCTGGCAATGTTTTAGAGACATTTTGATTCTCATAACTGGGGTGGGAAGGTACCATTGGCATCTAGTAGGCAGAGGCCAGGGATGCTGGTAAACATCCTACAAGTCACAGGACAGCCCACCACAACAAAGAATTATGTGGCCTCAAATGTCAACGGCGTTGAGGTTGAGATGCCATACCGTAGTGATTAAAATGAACTTATGATACACTGAGAGTCATACAGTCCATACTTGTAGAACTGAAAGGGACTTTGCTGTCCAGATCAAGGTCAGGCCTAGTTCTGTGGTCCACCATCCTGGTTAAACCATTTCTAGAAAACACCCAGTTCTGGATTTCAGTTTTTAAGGGGGGTATAAATACACTAGTGTGTATGTGTAGAAAGCAGAGCCACTAGAACGGTAAAAGGTCTGGAACTCCTAACACCTGAGGAATAGTAAGAAGAACTTCGAGAAAAGATTTGTACAGGGCATGGGTGGGAGTAGGCAGGGCAGCTGACTGTAAATATATGATGTGCTTTCAGGGTAGAAGCAGTATGCTTATTCCATTTTGCTCCAGAGGGCAAAATTAAGCCCATTAAGTAGAAAGTAATCAATTAACAAAACTATGAACGTTATAATTTTCATTAATTGTGATATATATTATATATATTTATCAAGTTATTATATATTCTAGAATTATATATTATACAATTATATTTTTATAATTTAAAATTATAAAATAAGTTTTTTACCTATAACTGAAGCTCAGCCCATGTAATGAGCTACTTTACTCTCCCCAATGCTATAAACTTTTCAACCTGAGGATGAAATCTTTTCTTACGGACACTGTCTCTATTCTGACAGAGAAGTTTTAGAAGAGATTCTTAGATTAGATAGGAGAATTGGCTAGATGATCTCTAGGTTTCTTTGGGCTGGAAGACCTAGGTCTTCAGAACTTGATCTGGCTCTATTTAATACATAGCTGATTCCCTCGCATAAGCATTTAAAACCAGGGATGGTTTATAAAGAAAATACTTACAATCTTCTTATCTGTACACATACCAAATTCTGAATTGTATCAGGGTTGCCAAGAATTAGAACAATCCAAATACATATTAATAAGTCTGGCCAATTGGAATGAAATGAACCAGAAGACAGCACTATTTATAAAAGCAATGTAATTATTACAAAATCGTCTGAAATTCTGACCATTATGTGGTCCGGAATGAAAGTCATGGCCAAAAAACAAACTAAGCTAAAGAATAAAAATTGGAAGAATGTCCCCTTTTAAAAAGAGCATCATTAGTATATCTTCAATTCATTTAATGAGGCAATTTTATTAAGTATCATATTTTAGAGTGTTAACACATTTTTATCTAGTAACAGTTCTATAGCATGCTCCTAAGAGAAACATGCTAATTTTCATATACACCACTGCCCACATTTCTTCAATCACAGTGGTTTAATTTTTGTGTTAGATAACCAGTTAGACAAAATTTGTCTTCTTTCATAAACATCAAGGCTTATTCTTAGAAAAATAGCTCCAATTTTTAAGACACAATGCAGCATATTGGTCCAAATTTCCCAGTACTAAGTTCAGAGCACTTTCATAAAACAAGTTCTTTTAAAAATAACACACATAGTGAGCACCATCACTGCCTAATACCTTAAAACAAGGCATATGAAGTATTTAAGAAGGTTAAGAGGTAAGAAAAGGAATGGAGTAAATAAGAGACAAGATTTTGTAGCTTATGGTACCTTACCTCAGTTATAATGATGAGAATCAGGCAAGAAAATGGAGAGGTTCTCAACTGCTATCCCTCAGTGGTAAAGAGTCTCCATATTGTGACATAATCATTCCTAACTACATACAGTAAATAAATAACTACCCAGCCAACTTAAAATTATCAGAGAAGAATGACAAGCAAAACTCTTAAAACTCACTCCTGCTTTGAGTTTAACTCTCCCTTCTGACTTTAAACAGCTATTTAAAAAAAAGCGCTGATTTTAAAACAGTCACTGGCTGATTTTTCACCTACAGAGTCCTGTATGAGGCAGTCCAGTTTGTTCAGTTGTCTGGAGACAAAAACATGAAAGAGGTTGATCCTAGTATAGGCCAATTAGGTCCCTACAAAAAACCACTACGATCCGTGGCCACACATTACACATCCCATTTTAGCAGAAGTAGCCACTGGTTGAAGGGATTATCTATATAAAACATTTAACTACTGCTGGGAAAAAAAAATCAGAGCATATGTTCCAGTGTCTGCTGGTCAAAAGCACCATATTCACAGATAAAAGAGCAGATTACAACATTAGTACTGAGGAGTAAATGTGCCAGAGAAAGGCAAGAGGGGGGAAGAACAGGTGAAATTTCAGCAACAAATGTGTCCAAGAGAACTAAAATATTTGTCAATAAAATTATACTTTTTCATTGTGTGGGTGTGTATATACCTGTTGCTGTCAAGTCCACTCCGACTCATAGTGACCCTATAGGACAGAGTAGAACTGCTCCACAGAGTTTCTAAGGCTATAAATCTTTATGGAAGCAGACTGCCACATCTTTCTCCCTTGGAGCAGCTGGTGGGTTCAAACTACTGACCATTTGGTTAGCAGCCAAGCACTTAACAACCGCACCACCAGGCTTCCATATATATATATACACAAGGAGCCCTGGTGGCCCAACAGTTAAGAGCTATGGCTGCTGCCCAAAAGGTTGGCAGTTCAAATCCATGAGCCACTCTTTGGAAATCCTATGGAGCAGTTCTACTCTGTCCTATAGGGTCGCTATGAGTTGGAATTGACTCAACAGCAACATTTTCTTCTAAAATATATATACATATAAATATACATATATGTATTGCTTTTGTTAATTTTGGTTTTTCTATAAACTCAGTAAATATGATTTTTTTTTTTAGTTTCTCAATGAGGTAATTTAACCAAATTTTGGAATAAAGAAAATTCATTCCCCAAATGGGTTAATTATAAAACATCATTAAAACATCACTGTGAAAAAAAAAAGGAACAAAATAATGATCTCTGAAGCAACATAAAAGCACAAAATGACAACAAAACAAAAACAAACCAAAAAAAGGGGGTGGGGGTGGCGAATGAAATGAAAATAAGGAAACCAGCCAGTCTATAATGAAAATCAACAGGAATCGTTCAAAGTTGGTTATACTCAGCTACTGATCTCGAAGAAACACTATAAGAAGCCAGCACCAAAAGGCCCAATTACAACCCGTTTCCATTTACATGAGGGAGGGAGGAAGGAAGGAACTGAGGCAGATTTAGCAACGGGATAGCAGCTGGAGGTCTTCACCTTTATCTCCTTGAAGAACGAAGCAGTTTCGCCCTCGATAATTGGCTGCAGCAAAGGGCTTCTCCGCTTGCTGGAGGGGGATCCCTGCGACAGGAGTTAACAAGTAGGTTACACTGCAAATCCCTTCCCTTGCCCCTCAGCTCTCTCTACCTCCTGTGACCTCACCAGTGTTTTATACCGTATTTTAATTCAATACCCTAGCCCCTCCCCTAAAATATTCCCAGGAAAACCTGAAACAACGGAAGTTCTTTTCTCTAAATTGCTCCTTCACTTCAAAGCCCCCCCCCCCCAAACCAAGCAGGACACATTAGCACAAGAACAGCACATTAGTACCTTAACCAAAAACTGTGGGAAAACCTGAAGAGAAACACCTGCCTCCCACCCTCTTTTCTCCCCAATCACAAATAACTACAAGAACACTTCAACTATAATAAGCCGAGAATAACGTAAGCTGATCAAGCAATTCAAAGGTTATCTGATTTCAAACCGCCGACCTTTTGGTTAGCAGCCATGGCTCTTAACCACTGAGCCACTAGGGCTCCTTTAAGGACACAAGGGCTCCTAACTGGAGAATGAAAAAGATTCCTTAAAGCGCTTAACTGCTAACCAAAAGGTCAGCAGTTCGAGCACACCAGCTGCTCTGGGGAGAAAGATGTGGTAGTCTGCTTCTGTGAAGATTTACAGTCTTGAAAACCCTATATTGGGCAGTTCTAGTCTGTCCTATAGGGTCACTATGAGTCGGAATCGACTCGATGGCAGTGGGTATTTGTTAGTTTACTTGCTATTCTGCTGGAAATTTCCAGAAGAGTTGCCTTCTTCAAATATACTTGCTTGAGGTCTCTGGAACCTCCCTCATTCATATGGACGAGTACAATATTACAAGAATTAAAAAAGACCATATTTTAGGCCTAGAAATAAACAAGGAAGCGCTAGATAAGAGAAGCAGCTAAAATGAATATGCATCTCAATAAAAGTGAAGTTGTATCTGCTTATCAAAAAGCCTAAAAGCCAGTAGAGGAAGTTCCAAGGCCCCTGGAGATGAGAGCACTGCAACAGAGGCAAATAATTCCCCAAGAGATGGTCAGGATGTTAACAACCCACTCATAAACCAGGCAGTGGAAAGGCCAAAGGCCGAGACTGACAGGGGATGACAGCATGCTGGCCAGTGCCCGAAAGGCTAACCCGGAGCTGCAGGCGGTTGCTGCTCCTTACTCTTGATAAAATAAAAACATAGGGGCCCCAAACCAGCTCAGTATGAGGCTGGTGGCCACTGAGGGCAACTTCACAATTATTAGATTACCTTCCTCTTCTTCCATTCCCTATACTTCTCCACATCCTCCAAGAAGAAGAGGGGCATCTCTCGCTTGAAATTCCTATTGGCTCTTCTCCCTCATTACGATTCACATGGGGTTTATCCCTCTCTTTCAGGGGGAGAAAAGATTCTTTATTAACAGAGGAGCCCTTAGGATCAGAGAAGCATTCTCCGGAGTGGGAGAAGTCTAGAGAAATCACAGCCCCTGTCCCCTTGGTGCCCTGTTCCTGAGGAGAGGGTGGGGTGCTTGGTCTAATACATGTGAGCTGGATGTATACAGTCAATGCATGTCTCCCAAAACGGAAAAAAATACTTTCAGTTTCAGATTTGCTCATTTTCGGCAAATGCATCCTCAGAAGTCTTTGATAAATTCTTCATTCCTCGAGCTTGTGGGCCATAGCTATCAACGGCTGGTGCAACTATGATAGCCTATTCTTTAATGAGAAAGCAGGTTAGGGCCTATTAATATATCCAGGGCACATTCAACCAGGTAGTCAACCACAAAAGGTATTGTACTCACAATGATGGGTATGGTGTTGGCTCGGGACAGGATCTGTTTGACCAGCCTGTACCGGTCATATAGTGGCTTCATCACCTGACGTTCATTCTTTGTTACCTGAAAAGCAAGAATAAGAGAGCTGAGACGACTGCTCACGGTGTCCACGCTTCCAGCTCTGGGGCCTTGTGGTCCCGGAATGAACACAGATGATTCAACTTAAGTCTTGCCATTCTTACAATATTTATTTAATATGACAGCATTACTTAGTCAATAAATATTTAAAATATCTACTTCAGCCACCAGCATGCTGGAAATTACTCCATCAGCAGTACTGCTTTTTCTAAAACAAAACTATGATCATTATTAGATCCCTGCTTAAAACTCCTCAAGGTTCAGAATTCCAAGACTATTAACTATTCTCTGGTTCTAGGAAAGAAGAAACGTGTATTTCTATTGTAATACATATCCTGCAGTTCTGTAATCAATTAATTTACATGTCTTTCTATCTCATGAAATTGTTGTGTATTTAATGACAAGATTCAAGGAACATTTGATGAAAGAATAAATGGATTGGCTTATCTTTGTATTCTAAAATATGGCACAGGGTTCAACAATTTTTACTGAACTAAAGGACTGATTCCATGGGCAGTGGGGAGAAATCAAGTCGAACTCTCTGGTGTAGTATTTAAAGCCACTCATGGCCCTCATCTAGCTAACCAACCTCATTATCTGCTGCTACACCTCTTCCTCATCATTCTCAAGCTCTAGAAGTAATAAACAAACTAGGCAATCTCTTAGCTACTTGCCTTGTTCCTTCTGCCCTGGAATGGTCTCTTCTTTGCTCTTTTGGCAAATTCCAGATCAAGAGCCACCTCCTCTGTGAAGCCTTCCTCCAACATCCTCCATTCTGGAAGATTTCCTCATTCTCTCCTCTTTGTCACCACTGCCCCCTGGGAACACCCTGTAATTTCACTGATAGTTTTACATTATATAATAAATATTTGTTGACATATCTGTCTCCTCCTTTAGACTGTAAGCCCCTTGAGAGCAGGAGTCTATGTTTTTGTATCCCTAGTAGCTATTTCAGTGCCTAATATAATGGAAATATTCTATAAATATTTGTGTAATGACTAAGTGGATATTTCAAGCATAAACCCGTCATTACCACCACCAGCTGCTGTTGACTTGACCCCAGTGTCAGAGTAGAACTGTGCTCCATAGGTAGATAGGCCTAATTCACAGATGAGCGTCTATTTCCCTTAGTTATTTAAATGGGGAAGGAGATGAAGTTATCTTTGCTACAAGTTTTCTGTTTGTCTTCAGCATTTTATTTCCATTCCACATATAATAAGGCAGGAGTTATAGAGATAAAAAAGGGCAAGTAGCACTGGCTTTGACCATTTTTCTTAGGGGCCTTTTTGGGCCTTCAACTTTGAAGGCAACCCTAGATTATGTATAAATGGATTATCATTTGCTGCCTTTTGTATATGCCTGCCACAAAGTGACCAACTATAAGCATAGTTAGGATAAACTTCACAAGCTAGGGTATGATACTGCCATCATGCAAAGATATTTTTTGTGGATTTATCTTCTATCATTAATAATAATAGCAAGTTTTTATTTGTATCTCTTCTGTTATCATAATATTAAAAGGCAGCTGACATTTTTCTGCTTCTACTATCTACAGTACCAAAAGGAATTTAAAAATTAGTGTTTCTTAAAAAAATGACTGTCAAGGCTGGAAGGAAACTCAAATTATTTTATATGAAAAAGAACTGAAGATCCAAAAAAAAAACCTGAGAATCCAACACAGGTGTTATTAATACACACTCACCACAATGGCTAAAATGAAAAGACAGGTAATATCAAGTGTCAGCGAGAATAGTGAACAATTGAAACTCTCCTTCACTGCTGGTAAGGGTGGAAAACTATTTGACAGTATTCATTAAAGCTGAACATATGATTCATCAATTCCACTCTTAAGTATATACCAAACGAAAGTAGACTTATGTTCACCAAAAGACATATACATGAATATTCATATCAGCATTGCTTATAATAGCCCTAAACTGCAAACCACCCAAACACTCATCAACGGTAGAATGGATAAGGTATGTTTCCACAAATTAAATACTACATTGTGTTGAGAAGGAATAAACCACAGCTACATGCAACATCATGGATTAATCTCACAAAAACAATGCTGAGTAAAATAAGCCAGACATAAAAGAATATATACTGTATGATTCCACTTACATAAAGTTAAAAAATAAGCAAAACTAGTCTATAGTGTTAGAAGTCAAGGTACCCGTTGCTGTTGAGTCAATTCTGACTCATAACGACCCTACAGGACAGAGTAGAATTGCCCCACAGGGTTTCTGAGGCTGTAATCTTTACGAAAGCAGACTGCCACATCTTTCTCCTGCAGAGGGGCTGGTGGGTTTGAACTGCTGACCTTTTGGTTAGCAGCTGAGCACTTAACCACTGTGCCACCAGGGCTCCTTAGAAGTCAAAGTAGTGGTTTCTATTGGTGGGGTCTGGGAGCGGGGGTGGGAGGAGGGTGGTATAGACTGGAAGGGGTTGAGGAGGGTTTCCAGAGGATTTGCAACATTTTGCTTCTTGATCTGGGTGCTGGTTACACTAGTTTTTGAAAAATCATCAAGACAGATATTTATAATTTGGGCTCTTTTCTATATTTATGCTATACTTCAATAAAAGTTCAATGATAGCCACAAATAAGTCTGAAGAACAGAAATAAAGTGGCTTGCACAACGTCACATGTAAAATGATAAAATTTAGGACTGGAACCCATGAAATAACCTTTTCATACAAGACATAATACAAGACTTGTCTATTAAAAATATTGCAGATAAGATTAGGGCACTTCCTAATTGTTGCCACATGACACGTGAAATACACGTGCAATAAAATATGATGTTCATGATAGACGACAGATGGTTTAGTGACCAAAAGAATACTACTTTTACCAATGATAATATTGACAAGACAGCATTTCCCCATTGCAGACCAGCATGCTAGTACCTAACTATTTGCTGGAAACATCTTTGGAATGTGGAAGTAAGTTTAGCTGGTAAAATTAGTCAAATAAGACAAATTTGACAAACCAAATTCCTTTCTAATATTTTGTTCAGAAAGGACGTTTTCTATTTCGAGTAGATGAAAAGGACTGTTGAACAGTAGCACAGATGCACATCTTTGTGAGAAATTATGGTATAGACAGACAAGATGCTATATTACCTCAAAATTTTCTAGTAAAATAAACACTAGTTCGAGTTTGTATGTGGAAGGGTACCTCTGAGTCATAAAACTGCTAGAAGGGGAAGACAGAACGGGATGGATTCTGAAAACTGTTGCATTCTTGGCCCATGCACTTTATCATCAGGTAATGACAGTAGGCTGTCTGTACGAAGAACAGATAATCCAAAATAGCAGATAACCGACTTACAGTATTTATGTATGGCTTTAGAATTTGTATTTATATTTGAACATGACTATGTTTACTGTCTTGTTAGTTTCTAAGGTTTTAAAACACATGAGTAAATACCAATGAGGAAGAGACTCAAAAAGAACCCAGAAGCTCTGATTAAAGGACTTTTCTTTCCTCCTCTACATTTACCATCAAAAAAAAAAAAACACCAACCAAACCCGTTGCCATCTTGAGTCAATTCTGACTCACGGCAGCCCTACAGAACAGAGTACAGAGTAGAACTGCCCTATAGGGTTTCAGAGGAGCAGCTGGTAGATTCGAACTGTTAACCTTTTGGTTGGCAGCCAAACGCTTAACAACTGGCGCCACCAGGGCTCCACATTTACTATCAACGGGTACTATTTGAAGAAGGCAATAGAGTAAGCTGCAGTTATTTGTTTTATTTCTCTCTGATAAGATCTTTTGATGAGACCCTTAAATGTTGAAAAGGACCCAATTTAATAACAGAGAATTACGTGCTGGTGTCTAAATGAGTGTTTTTATATACATGTCAGTTTGTCATATAGTGCCCTGTTAAAGCAAATAGCCTTGTTAAAAAAAAGTGTACCTGCCACTAGAAGGAGCAGATAACCGTTTTGGCCTGTGATCGTAAATGCATCTGTTTAAATCAGAATAGGTAGACTCAGCAAAAACCCAAAAACCCAAAAGTACTTGCTCTTCTGAAAAACTGGGTGTTTGCAATAATAGGTTAGTTCTGGAAGCACTTATTTTTCTTTTAAGAAAAGCTGTTGCCCAAATGGTATTTAGAATCCAGGGTCCATGGTAATATCATAGATCTAAGAATTAAAAGGTCTCTCTTGGGTTTTCAGCTGGCCAGATAACAAGTGAATTCTGCTTTTCCTGAGGAGGTTGGAGTATCATGTTCCAGAGACAAGCAGAGAGCCTGGCCTGGGACCAGGAATAAAAGATACTCAGCTTTCCTACTGCACTTTTCCCTGCCTATGAGATGTTAGAATTTGGAGTCAAAAAGACGTTCTTCCTTCATCTGAAACAATGATGAAAGAAAAAGGAGTAATAAGGCTGGACTAAACCATGAGTTGGAGTCAACTTGATAGCAACTGGTTTGGAGTGAGTCCCTGGATGGTGCAAATGGTTAACGTGCTTGATTGCTAAACGAAAGGTTGAAGGTTTGAGTCTACCCAGAGGCACCTCAGAAGAAAGGCCTGGTGATCTACTTCTGAAAAATTAGCCATTAAAAACCCTATGAAGCATAGTTCTACTCTGACACACATTTGGTTGCTATGAGTTGGAATTGAGTCCACAGCAACTGGTAGTGGTAAGAAGTAGTATTTCATATTCCTAATGATAAGAGTGCTAAAAAATGTACGTTCGTTCTCCTGACTCAGTCATTTAATAACAGGTAAGCCTCAGAGAACAGAACATATAATTGTGACAGAAGTAAAAACTATCATTTACTGTGCAACTCTCCACAGCCACCCACCCCACCTCCTCTGTACCAGACACCCAAGGTTTTAAAACTTTGGAAACTAACAAGACAGAAAACATAGCCATGTTCAAATTTAAGTTAAATTCTAAAGCCATATCTAAATACTATCCTTGGTTATCTGCTATTTTGGATTACTGATCTTTGCACAGACAATGTATTGTTATTACCTGATAAGAAAGAAGACAGAGTTGTTGTTTTTCTCAGTGCATGGGCCAAGAATGCAACAGTTTTAAGAATCCATCCCATTCTGTCTTCTCTTTGTAGCAGTTTTATGACTCAGAGGCATCCTTCAACACAAACTCAAATATATGTATATATATGTTGTTCGGTGCTGTCAAGTCAGCCTGAAAGTGGTAACCCCGTGTAAAACAGAACGAAATGCTGTCTGGTCCTGTGCTATCCCTATGGTGGGATGCAGATTGGACCATTGAGATCTATAGGGTTTCCAATGTCTGATTCTTAGAAACAGATTGCCAGGCCTTTCTTTTTAGTCCATCTTAGTCTAGAAGCTCAGCTGAAAGGTGTTTAGCCATCATAGCAACATGCAAGCCTCCAATGACAGATGTGCGGTGGCTGCGCATGAGGTGCATTGGCTGGAATTGAAACTGGGTCTCCTACATGGAAGGTAAGAGTTCTACCACTGAACCACCAGTCACTATATATTAACTCATTGATGTTGAGACGATTCTGAGTAGAACTGCCCCATAGGGTCTCCAAGGCTGTAATCCTTACAGAAGTAGACTGCCACATCTTTCTCTGTGGCTGATAGGTTCGAACTGCTGACCTTCTGGTTAGCAGCTGAGTGCTTAACCACTGCACCACCAGGCTCCTTAGCACTATTATGATAAACAGAGAAAATACTGAAGTTGTCAAGGATTTCATTTTACTTGAATCCACAATCAATGCCCATGGAAACAGTAGCCAAGAAATCAATGATGTATTGCATTGGGCAAAAGCTGGACAATGAATAAGGGAGACTGAAGAAGAATTGATGCATTTGGAATTATGGTGTTGGTGAAGAATAACGAATATACCATGGACTTCCAGAAGAATGCACAAATTTGTCTGGGAAGAAGTACAGCCAGAATGCTCCATAGAAGCAAGGATGGTGAGACTTCATCTCATGTACTTTGAAGATGTTATCACAAGGGACCAGTCCCTGGAGAAGGACATCATGCTTGGTAAAGTAAAGGGTCAGGCAAAAAGAGTGAAGATCCTTAACAAGATGGATGTTCACTGCAGCATTATTCACAACAGCAAAAAGATGGAAACAACCTAAATGCCTATCAGTGGCTGAATGGATAAACAAATTTTGATACATACATACATACAATGGAATACTACCAATGATAAAGAACAATAATGAGTCTTACAACATCTTATAACATGGATGAATCTGGAGGACATTATGCTGAGTAAAATAAGTCAAACACGAAAGGACAAATATTGCATGATACCACTTTTATAAATAGTCAAAAATAGGTATACACACAGAAAGCAATGTTCTTTGATGGTTACCAAGGATGGGAGGGGGAATCACTTACTAGATAGTAGACATATGTTAATTCTGGTGATGGGAAAGGCAGTACACAATATGGGGGAAACCAGCACAACTTGACCAAGGTAAATGAAGACACTGAGAGGTACACAAGAATAAAGGACAATGATGGTAAATGCTATTATAACAGATACAATTTTGCAACAACAGCAATCACAAGAAAAAAAAATATGTGACTGGTTACACAAGTAGATATGTATGCTATATGGGTGTGGGAAGGTGTATGGTAGTACATGTGCATACATATACAGATATATTTGTGGGCATATGTATGTATCTACATGTTTGTATGTGCTGCATATATATTCATATATCCAATAAAGCACATTGGAGGCATAGTTATGGATACTTCCTAGACATATTCAAATACTTCACGGAATTGATTTACTGGGTTTGAAGGGTTAGGACCAAAGTCTCATGGGACAACTAGGTCAATTGGCATAATTTAGTTTATAAAGATAATGTTCTACATCCTGGTTTGGTGAGTAGCATCTGGAGCAAAGGGGAGTGACAGAAACCAAAGACTCAAGGAAGAAATTAGTCCTAGAACCACAGCCTCTTCTAGGTTGAGATCAGAACTAGATGGTGCCTGGCTACCATTACCGACAATCATGACCAGGGACACAATAGAAGATCCTGGTTAGAATGGGAGAAAAATGTAGAACAAAACTCAAATTCATAAAAAAGACCAAAGTTACTGGACTGCTAGAAACTAGAGGAACCCCTGAGACTATCACCCTAAGATACCCTTTCAACCTGGACCTAAATCCATTCTAGGAGGTTACCTTTCAGTCAAATAATAGATTGGCCTATAAAATAAACAATAACACCCGTTAGTAATGTGCTCCTTTAAACAATCAACTATACGAGAGCAAACGGTCAACATTCACTCAAAGCAAAGATAAGAAGACAAGGAGGGACAGGGTAACTGGATGGATGGAAATGGGGCAGGTGGGGTGGAAATGGTGATGGTGCTGATACATTGAGGGGAATATAACCAATGTCACAGAACAATCTGTGTATGAATTGTTGAAAGTGAATCTAATTTGCTGTGTAAACTTTCACCTAAAACACAATAAAATATTTAAAAAAATAAAAGTAATCTTACTAATCTCCTTTTTCCAAAAGTAAAATTAAAGATTAGGGAACCCCACTTGCAAGATACTGAACGTAGAAGATCCATTTCTAAAACCAGAAAATTTACCCCAATCAGAAAATCCAATACATCCACATACCGGCCGTCCATGAATGCTTTCATAATATAACAGCGCTTTCTGCAGAGCCACTTTCTCATTAGCAATCTGGTCTTTGGTCATATCCTGTATAAACACCAGGACACAGAAATGAAAGAGGGGAAAATACTTGTTAACATTTCAGCTTTGCTATTTAAAGAAATTTCCCAAAGAAAGGTTAAAAAGAATCCTCATACAACAGCTCTCTCCGTTTATACCCAAAGCTCACTGAGGAGTTAGCTATTACTGCCTCTTGCTCAAAATACGGATAGCATAGCAGATTCACCATCAACTACTTGCATCTTCTACGCAGCAGCAAAGGCATGAATACTGAGGTAAGCAAGGTTGCAACGCACATGGGGCTTAGGTTAATGGCCCAGGTAATGACTCCAGTGTCAGGTTACTTAGTCCCAAAGGTTTGTCTATAATCCTTTTACCTCAGAGACTCAACAAAACATCTATTAAACAAGTCCAATCTGCAGTATGTACAATAGTTTTCTGTTTTCAATTTTCAGTCAATAACCAAAGTACCCACAGTCAAAAGACTCTGAGGTTGTTTGATCTACTTCTCTAGACATCTAAGAGCGTTGGGTTCAGGGTGTGGGAAGTTTCAAAAGCATCAGTGCATCACCCTTCCCTTTGGGATTCATATGGCATGGCCTAAGTGTCTACCGTATTGGCTTAGGATCAGCAGTCAGCTCGGGGGCCTTCACAGATTCATCACACCTTAATGTCCTCCGGACGGCTGCTTTCTGCCCGCTTCTCCTGGAGCTTCCTCTGGATGGATTCCAGTGTGGCTTCAACACTAGGCTTGATTGCTTTATCTACCAGTTCTTGCTTCTTCTCATCTTCTTTCTCAAGTTGGGAACCGAAACTCTTGGGGAGTGTGTTGCTCCGCTGCCGCATCCTGGGGGTAAGGTCTTCTTCAGATATCTTTAGTTTTGACTCTAGTTGAAAAGATTTGCGGGTAAAGATATATGAGAATTGATGTCTGCTGAACCCTAAATGTTTTCCTGTGGTGTCAATAATTGCTTAGCCCCACCCATCTTTTTTTTCATAGAGTATCTAATTATAATATTAGTGGAAATCCTCTGGTTATTATGTAAAACCTGAGATAATGATAATATCTTATTGGATTTATCTGGTGTGTTTCCTTAACTCTAATTCCTGAGAAAACTTTAGTTATTTCAGTGTCCATCCTTGGGCCACACTAATCTGTTTGCTGTTCTCAGAATGTGGCAGATGCCCTCCTATGCTTGTTCCATTAGTCTTTAAACGTATTTATGGATCAAATGCCCAACTTCTGGTCAACTTTCCCTGTATGACTTATATCCCTCATTTTGAAATTATGCTCACTTTGGATTCTATTTAGTTGTTTCTATGATTCTGTCCCCTAAAAGACAGCAAGCTCTTTGAGGGACAGGAACCAAACTGTTTTCAGAACTTTCTCTGTATCTCTGTCTTCTCCTCTTCTAACATGAAGCAAATGGAGCCTTGGATTAAACAGGTATTTAGTAAGTGTTGAATTGAAACCATCATTCTTATGTTAGTGATTTAGGGAGCTGTAGAGATGCTGCAGAATTTGTATCTTACTTGATCTGGGTTACCCTGCGACTGAGACCAGGGAAGGCGTTGCGGGGAGGGAGGGAGTCACTCTGATGAGCTGAGAGCACTGGGAAGGATCTTCAAGGAACCTGTCTTTTCTGGAATATCTTAGCAGTAGCACCTGGCATGAGGTGAGATGATGGATTTTGCACCTGGCTTACTGTAGAGAAACTGTGTCACATGTCCAGAACTTCACCCACCTTTAAGCTGTTTCCGGAATTTGGCAAGGTCATTTGTCCATTTCAGGACCTCTGGATTGGCTGCTTTGTCACTGTGGGAAGGCTGAGAAAAGGAAGTCTAGAGTAAATGTTTTGGAATTGGGGCAGGTAAAAGACGTGTTTCATGATCATTTTCATTTTAAATAGGAGGAAAAAGTTGAGTCTCATCCATCTGCATAGAAATGAACCATGATTAATCAGAGCAAACTTCACAGGTATAATTCTAGTCACAGGGTGGTGAAAACAGTTAAGCACTTGACTACTAGCTGAAAGGCTGGCAGTTCAAACCCACCCAGAGTCACCTCGGAAGACAGGCCAATTTGCTTCTGAAAGGTCAGAGCCTTGAAAACCCTATGGAATAGTTCTACTCTGCACAGACGGGGTCGTCCATGAGTCAGAATCAACTGGATGGCAACTAACAACAAACAACACTTTATAGCTAGTCAGTTTGGATGCTTTCAAACAATTCCTTAGAGGCAAAATGCCGGGTTTTACGACCATGGACTACTGTTAGGTTATTTCTAATGGAGCCTTTTCCATTATCTGCAGGGTTGGACTTGTAAGGCTAGCCGAGGAGAAAGCAGAAGGGTATATTTTACACTGCAGCCACCATGAAAAATGTCTTTCTGCCATTCTTCTGGGGAATACCAAGGATAGCTGAAGGCAGAATGAGGTCAGTACTAACAACATTTTAGAAGAAGATAATCTTGAATTAAGTTTTAACCAAACAAAAGACTTTATTCAATGATTTTTCCCACTCCTGCTAGCTGATAAATTTACAAAACATAGACTAAAGCTTTCAATTTATTCATGAAGATTAACTCACAGAAGAAAAATGCTGATACATGTTTGGGATTTATCAGAATTTACTACCCAGTTTTTATTGCCTTTTTGTTTTGAAATTCCCTGGCGACCTTTCATAACTTCTCTGCACTGCTGACACGCCCGTTTGTCAGGGGAGAGGAAGGGATGAGAACTCTGTGAGGAGACACTTACTCTGTACTTCCTCTCTTCTTCAAATCTGTCTTCAAACTTTCGAATCTTTTTTTTAAGGCTCTGAATCCTCCGTGTGAGCTGGGCAGGTGTCAGGTCCTCTTGCTCATCATCGTAGGACCCCAGAGAGGAGCTCCGTCGCCTGTGAGGGGCACGACTTCGGTCAGCCTCCCCATGAGCAGTCACTGCCCACTGACATGGGTTTTGGGGATGTGGGATGCCATGTTGTTGGGAGGAGGGGAGTCAAAACAGTCTCCATCCTCTTGAATAAGAGACAGTTGACTACTAATTTTTGAAATTTTAATTTTAAAACTTAAAATTAATTTTGTGACTTGAAGCTCTGTATTTCCCACCTATTAAATAGAACTAGCCTTTTGTAGCTCACAATTACAATTAGCAAAGGTCTGATAGGGCGTTCTGAAATGTGTGCCATGAAGCCTAGAAGTTAAATTTAAGAGAGCCTTGGAAAGAGGTGCTAATGGAAATTCTGTATGTGATGTTGCTGTTAGGCCACAGTTGAACCAAAAAACACCACCACAACCTGTGAAATAGGGTGGAGAATGTTCCTCCACAGACTGACACTTAAATTAAAAAGAAAAAAAAAATCCTAGTCACAGCACCATTCCTAACCTTTCTAATGTGGTGGGATGATGCTTTTTTAGCAACACAAAGAAACATACCTCATGAAAGAATGGGAATTTGGGGGAGAAGGAGGCACTTCCGTGTCATCCAGGTATTGCCTACTCTGCCCATAAGCATAGAACCGCGGAGAGAGCAAAGGGTCGCTGTCTTCGTCCAGAAGCTGACGAATCAGGCGCCCCGCCTGCGGGGAGAGGCGGGCTTCATCAGAGTTGATGCTTTCCCGCTGCCATGTGGAGAAAGTAGGGACAGGCTCTGGAAAACAGCGGTGGGTAGAGGTCAAAACTGCTCATTAAAGCACAACTGTTTCCAAAGTATTCTGAGTGCTTTCAGAGGCTGCCCATTGGTTTCTCATTTCAAATTTAAGGTCCAGGCTAGGGACACTATGCCCCAACTGAAATCATCAATATATCTGACAGTCATCATCTATCTATCTCTATTCTCATTTGCTCTCCAGGGAGAAACTGCATGGGCTGCCCTGAGGAATAGCCTTGAAGGAGGAGAGCCAAGAGTGTATGCTTCCAACTCTTCCGACAGGGCTTTAACAAATACTTTTCCATGTGAGGCCACTATTGAACAGAAAAGCAAGTGACGCAGGGAAGGAGATATTACCGCTACATCCCGCACTGAAATGACTAAGGGATCAAGCTAAGAAATCACATTAATCTTATGAGCGTCTATTTCTTTAGGTGTTTGCAACTTCCGTTTAGGTCATTCTGTAAACTGTTTTGCGTGCTTCTGCTTAGTGCCTTGGGATTAGCATATTTAAGATGCATGCTTTGCACTTGAAACTTTAAAAGTTGCTCAATACTGTAGTCAAAGTAAGATGAGTCTATACATTAGTCAAAAAAATTTAAAAAGATCGCCTTACAAAGGACAAATCTATACAGATTGGTTAGGCAATCTTTTAAAGAATAAAACATACTTATTTGGGGAGAGAAGAGGGTGATATTTATTTGTATTTACTACAAGATCTACCTCAATATATTCCTTTCCTCATTAACAAAAATTCTATGCAATAGAATTTAATGATAGATCTCAAATGATACAGGTAGTATCGTTTATAATACCCTCTGCATAAAATAACTGTTATGCTTTAAATTTACTTGTGGATGGCCATGATTTACACTAGGTTGCAGTTTGATCATGATCCTAAATTCTGGAACTCCTGGCGTTTGACTCATGGAACAGTTGCTCCTTCAGCTATCAAACTGTTTATAAAATTTACAAAATTATCTTAAATAAGTACTTCGCATTTTATGTAAAAAGACCATATTACAATTGTAGACCATTAGAGCCAGGTGAAACTTGACAAATCATCTAATCTTGTGATTCTCAACCCTGGCTGCATATCAGAATCATGCAGGGGGATTTAAATAACTACAAATACACAGGTCCTCATCCCACCCAATTAAACAGAGTATTTAGGTGAGGGCACAGATACGCAATACACACATACATAAACACAGATTTGAAAAAGCTGCCCAGGTGATTTTAATGTGCAGCCAGGTTTGAGAACCACTGTTCCAATCCAACAGATTATAGATATGGAAACTAAAACCCAAGAAAGTTTAGTGATTTGTCTAGGAATAAATACCTAATCAATGACAACAGTTGGAACTGGAAAATAAATCTCCTGACTTCCAAGACAGTGCTTCAATTCAATGTGCCAAGAGCTTCAATAACAATGACTACATACAATTTCTGAAGATGCCCACAGTGTAGTAGGAGAAATAAGCACATACACTTAAAAAGATTAAGCTCATGTGGAATGAGGTCCACAGATTTTCAAATTTTAAAGAAAACTAAGTTATCTGGGAACAAAGACAATGCTATAAATATTTGGAAAACTGAAAGCAGTTATCAACAGAGACTCAAAAAGTGACAAAGAATGTTGGCAGATGTATTTGGCCAAAGCTGGAGAGCAACAGGAGTTGTTTCATTATTTGTACTCACACTACTGGCCTGCTCCATCTAAGTAGCAGGGTTCAGATATGAGCAGCTCAGTACTGCAAACATAAAAAACCAAAAAAAAAACAAAACCAAACCCACTGCCGTCGAGTCGATTCCGACTCATAGTGACCCTACAGGACAGAGTAGAACTGCCCCACAGAGTTTGCAAGGAGCGCCTGGTAGACTCAAACTGCTGACGTTTTTGGCTAGCAGCCGTAGCACTTAACCACTATGCCACCGGTAAAAAATGGTTTGAGAGGTGAAAGAAAGGAAGGGTGAATTAAAAGTAATCCCTAGAAAAATTTTAAAAAAATTAGTGTTAGGTTTCAGAAAATGTAACTAATAAACTGACCAAATTGCATCTTCTATTTCATATTTCCTAAGACAGCAGTAATTTTCTATAGGGACTAAAATCAGTTAAGCCAGGACCGGGAAAGGGTTAAGATGGCTTGAACAGAGGGGCACATGAGCAAAACAATCAGGGGGAAGGGCAAGAAGGTTTACTGGGGACAGAGGGCATCAGGAAAACAAAGTCTGATGTTGATATTGGCATATGGGTGTGCTGGCTAGTTTGACATTTTTACTCATCAAAACCTCATTTGACAAAGTGTTAACTTTAGTCCTGAAGCTTTTTAATTTGTCTAGCAGAGTATCTCTTAACAATGTCACAACTAATCTCTGATTCAAGTTTTCAACCACATGGTCTCTGTGTACAAAAAATTTTGCAAAAAGAGTATGTGTGTGCCTGTGCCCATTAACGAAACACAAATTATAATTTTGAATTAACTATAAAAATACTAATCAAGGAACTCAATTATGGTGGTGTGACGCTTTGCGGCTAACACGGGGCCATCTGTAGGTTTTCCTTTGTTTACATAGCTATATTCTTGTATTTTCTTGACCGAGCATTTCACTGACAGAAAAACCGAATGTGTTGTGTTCCTAGTGTCACCAGCGGTATATATGAAGTGCACAGCTGCATAAATTCTAGATAATGGTTGTTACTCTCTTTTAAGGAGCCCTGGTGGCGCAATGGTTAAGAGCTATGGCTGCTAACCAAAAGGTCGGCAGTTCAAGTCTACCACTCACTCCTTGGAAACCCTAAGGGGCAGTTCTATCCTGTCCTATAGGGTTGCTATGAGTTGGGATCGACTCAACGGCAAAAGGTTTGGGTGTTTTTTTTTTTTTTTTTGTTATTTTCTCTTATTCTATTTATAATTTTAATCTGATCTTTTTAAAACAAGACTTTATTTCTTATAGCAGTTTTAGATTTACAGAAAAATGTTTGGGTGTTTTTTTTTTTTTTTTTGGTTATTTTCTCTTAAAGCATATTTAAAAATGAGCAATATAAAACCATCATTAATTTCAACTTTAGCAAAATAAAAACGAATCTGCACGTAGAAGAGAAGCGAGAAGTTTCTCTCCTATGCAACATGATATGCTTATATGATTTCTCCCTTTTCTTTCTTTCATTTTATTCTATAGTCTTGTAATTGAAGGCTGTATCCCAGAGTTATAAAACTGTATGTAATATGTAGTTCAATATAACTAAAGAACCAATAAAATCAACTCTTCGCCAGTTTTAGTTTGAAATGATCTAATAACACAAGGCTATCTCATGTTTTGGCACTCAGCCAGAAAAACAAGTAAGAACAAAATAAGAACAATAGGACATACGATAGTATGTCCAAGTGCATTACCTGCAAAGAGAGCCAGTTTGTGTATTCATTGTATTCAGTGTATTCACTGACCACTCCCAATTGCTGGCTTGGGAAATATTTTCTATTTTAACCAGTAACTCTAGAGCAATGCAGGAGATAAAGGTATTGCAAGAAAATTATTCAAAGGGACAAGAGAAAAGATTTGAAGCTTCAATATGGATTTTCATCTTAAAATACCACACAAAGTAAATGTGTTTTCATATCTAGACCAGAATTCCATGGGTACAGTGATTTTGATTTTAGCCACGCGTCTTGTGACAAATAACTCTCTGTATATGTATGGCATGTCTTCCTATTAAAAATTAATCCACCCAGGTCATCTGACATCACAGCAGGTCAGAAGCAACAGATAAAAACTGTACGCTTGCTAATAAAAAATAGGTCCTACGGGAATTCCAATTCACACACTACAGTACACATGGAAATAAAGGAAAATCACTGTAGGGAGAGGGAACGTAACTGAGTAATGCTAATGTGGTCACTGGGACTTAGCTATTCTCTACTTAGCTGGCTGTGTCCACTTACTACACAGAAGAAAATTGGCTACTCAGATGATTTACTTCTAAGAAATCTGCACAAAATTAACAGAGCTGATGTTTTCCACATTTCATTTCCAACTATATATTACTTAGAGCTATTACTACTTGGCATGATGTCATAACCATCTTTCAAGGAGGCCACTCAGGAGTGTTAGGAGATATTTGCACATCCAGATAAACAAAGATGTAAGCCCCATGGGGGAAGGTCTTTACTGGGGGAGAAAAACAAGGGAATCTTTTTATAAAAATTTCTTTAGTGCTCCAAAATTTAATCTCAGAACCTATTAAAATGTTCAAGCAGTCTTGCAAACTATCAGAGTTTAGAAGGAACCTTAGCAGTCAGTCTTATCAATCGACAATCTAATCCTTAAATTTCATATGTCAGCTTTGCCTCATTTGCAAATTTAATAAGCAGGCCATCAATAGCTACATTTAAGTCATTAATAAATGTGTAGAACAGGATAGAGCTGGGGACCTTATCTAAGGATAACATTTGATCCGTTTATCTGCACATTTAAGTGCAGTTGCTCAATCAGTTACTAATTCCTTCCCCTGCCTGACTGTCTTCTATCCCTTCCACATCTCTGACAAGCCTATCAAGTCAATGTCAAAGGCCCAGCTGACGTCTTTTCAGATACACTATTTCCTTAATACAGAATCTGGTAGCACCATCAAAGAAAAAAAAGAGCTTGGTGTGAAACAACTGTTGTTGTTGTTGTCAAGCACCCTTGAGTCAATTTTGGAATCACAGCGACCCTATGTCACAGAGTAGAACTGTCCCATAGAGTTTTCTAGGCTATAATCTTTACGAGAGCACATTGCCAAGTCTTTTTCCCATGGAGCCGCTGGGTTGGTTCGAACCACCAACCTTCCAGTTAGCAGTCAAGCACTTAACCGTTGCGCCACATTGTGAATTGATTCAAAATCCAAGCCAAACTGTTGGGTTGATTCTGACTCATAGCGACCCTACACAACATAGAGAAACTGCCCCATGCGGTTTCCAAGGCTGTGATCTTTAAGGAAGCCGACTGCCACATCTTTGTCCCTCGGAGCAGCTGGTAGGTTTGAATCGCCACTCTTTTTAGCAGTGAGCTCTAAACCACTGCACCACCAGGGCTCCTTGTGAATTGATTAGTCCTTAGTAAATCCATGAAGCCTCAGAAGACAGGCCTGGTGATCCGCTTCTGAAAGGCCATAGCCTTGAAAATCCTATGGAGCAGTCTTATTCTGAACACATGGGGTCACCATGAGTCAGAATCAATTTGACAGCAACCAACAACAATAAAATCTATGGAGGACTTAGTAATTACTGATTCCTCCTCTGTGTGTTTAGATCCCTCTATCATCATTAGGTAGAATTGGGCCTTGGTTTCAAAGAAGGCAAAGGCAAACTTAGGCTGATTTTTCCTGAAACTATACTTGGAAATATTTTTGGAAGATAACAACCACCACCACCAATCACACAGTACCTATCATGCGCCAGGCACTGTGCTGAGCACTTTACAGATATTAGCTCATTTAATCCTCACAACAAATTTACTGTTATATCTATTATCTACTGTTATTATCTCTATTTAAAGATGAGGAAATTGAGGCAGAAACTGAGACTAAGGTTTACTAACTTGCCCACAAAGCTGGTAAGTAGCAGAGCCAGAATTGGGACCCAGTGAGTCTGGTTCTTAACCACTGTGTTCCACTGCCCTGCTTGGTACATCTCTGGCATTGCAGAAATATAACTCGGAGACTGAAAATAAGTATATATAAAAAATGTTCACTGGAAGCAGTAACCAAATGATCAAAACAGATCTTGGAATGCATCCAAGTGGATTTTTTTAGGTATGCAAGTTCAATGACAAATACAAATGCAGTAACCGGCAAAAAAAAAAAAGAAAAAAAAAAAAGTCAAAGCAAGCTACTTTATAAATTACATGAATAATACAATTCACATTCCCTATTGAATGCAATGAAATGCTATTGAAAAGCAAAGCATTTTTTGTCCCAATAAACTTTTTTATTCCATCTACTTTCCCAGTAACAAAATAAAATTGTTGGTTTCCTTGATATTATTATTATTTATCTGGGAGGACATTCTTCACATTAAGTGATAAAATAGTTTTAAGGAGACTATAAGTTGCCTTTCAACCACTCTGGAGAGAATTTTCAGCTTTATAGTAGTCTCTTTAAGTGTACTGGGAGAAACTATAAATTTATCATAAGCCAAAATAAAAATAATCAAAATGAGCTCATTTCAGGAGAAGGAAGAAGAATCTATCTCAGCCTTTAGTGAAGAGAATGTGGGTACTATGAATCCTGACTAAAAAATCTTCAGTTTTATCTAAAGCTCTACGTTAATTATACGGGCAACTAAAAACAACTTCATATTCTTGAAGCCCAATTATAGCATTTATCTTGGTTACTGTTGTTTTTCTTTTATTTGGGTAATAGTGACAACTGTGGGACGTCTTTTGGTTGTTTTTAATGTATGATAAATGACTGACAAAACACGTGACTATTTCAAAGTACACAAAACAAGAACATAAAAGACCAACTCAGGAATGTATCACTTAAACTAAAAATAAATAAAAACCATACTTTTTTTTGCTCAATGGATTGTGAGAAGGGAAGATCTGACAAGATTTCAGACAGATAACCTAATTATAGGAAATGAACACATTTCTTAAATTGCAAGGAAGGAGAAGTAGAATAAAAAACCGTTCTCACTTCACTAATGCCCTGGGTATACGGAGCACAATGGAGTTACTCTTTTTCACCTTGTGGTCTTTTTAGCTTACCTTGTGGTTCCTCATCTAAGATCATTAACATAACCAGTACTCTCTAGTTTAAAAAAAAAAGGAGGGATAGAAGACAAGGAAATATTCAGGGGCTGATAAGGACTAATATTTCATAATTGTGATTCTCTGCTAAGTGATTGTGTTAAGTCATGCTGTTGTACTGAAATCAGGAACACAATTTCTCTCTCTTTGTAGCCTTCAAACTAATATACTGTGTGTCACACACAGACACTGCACGGCAGTCTGCAGAGGCAGACGGGCAATTATTTTTGGATATGCATCAGTATACGTTTGCATGCAGACACATGTATAATGAAAGCACAAGCAGCTTGATTACTGCTTCCTGACATACAGTTTTAACAAGATAAGGATACCTTCTTTTTCCTCAGCAATAAATTTACATTTTCACCAAAAATCTCTAGGAAAAAACAATCTAAAGCACTGTATCACAGGTTTTCAAATAAAGTGCACTTTTATTCCATGTTCTCTTTGATAAGCAAATCCCTGATGTGCTTGCTAAAGTGGGTGCTACTCAGTTCCTTGGCACTACAAGGGGGGAAACACTCACACACACACACACACACACACACCCCACCCATCAGCACTGCCGGTGAGTTAAACAGAAAAAAAAAAGGACTGCAAGGTGACACTTGATAAGAGGCAAACATATTTTCTTTCTGAGATTGCAATTACTATTGGCAACATTTTACATGTCAGGTAAAAGACTTTCAGTCATTGAGAAATGCAGTTACTTCTATGCACAGCACTCACTCTCCCCCATGCGTACGTACTCTTACATGCCTCTCATTTATGATTCTTTATGTTTTTGCAATATTAAATCATCCAAGTATCAGATGACCCTACCTTCCCAGCTCTTCCCATCACACAATGCAGCCAGGTCCAACTGGGGCACTTCGGGGACAAAGCTCTCCTGCTGGTCATCGGCGTCTTGACTCCTCTGCAGTTTGGCGTCAGGTATGCTGGGATGCTCCTGAATCTTCATTGTGGAGCTCTGCAAAAACAGCACAATGTCCCCAAATCCCTGCTGCTCTCACCAAAACCCAAAAATGTCTGCAGCAATTCCACTCCTGGATGAAACCTTCCAAGCCACCGCTGCTGATGCACCCAGCACAGAAATCAAAACCATGGCTCGATGTCCCCCGGATACTAGCTGGCCACCTGCATGCAAAAAGCAACTATCCATCTGCTCTCTTAACTTTTCTTCTCTGAGAAAAACAAGATGACTTCCTCGGGCTGCTTTTCCTGATAACTGTGGCCAGCTGACAGTCTTGATTATTACTGATTGGGGTAAGGAATAAGGGAAAGGAGTTTGTGTTTCCTTAAGGGAGTATGGCTCTCCAGGCTGTAAACAACAACAACAAAAACGGATATTGCTGTTGCTAAGGCTGCAGAAGCAACATGGTGTCTTTCGCATGCAGACTTCGCTGTCCCTTAGATAAACAGTCCTGGAAGGCCAGGAGCACAGGCGTTGTGCGTGCACGCTGCTCTCCTGCCAGCCCCACAGGCTTAGATCAATTCAGCGGGGCTAGCTGCACATTCCCAGGTTGCCTGTGGTTATTTTCTCCCTGAGTGTGGGGAGAACAGACTATTTATGGAGGAGCTCTGGGTATTAAAGCATTGTTGCGCAAATTCAAACAGCAGAGGGGTTTGGCGTCTCATCTCAGCTAGCAGTAAGAAGCACGTACTCTGGAAATGAGCCAAAATTACACAGGGAGCATGACTTTTTTTTTCTTTTAAGTGAAAAGCCCAGAGCTGGCAAGTCAGTGATGCATAATTTATATCTTACAAATATGCAGCTGTCACTTGTTTTCCTACTATTCATTTACTCTGAGTATTAATTAAATACTCAGCTACACTTGGCTTTGCTCCTCGGCTGCACCTATATCAGGTTGGAACATCTGGGAGATGGGAGAACCCTCCCCCAAAGGCTGATATTTTATTTAAGCAATTCTATGGCTTTTTTTTTTAAACGAAGCATTGAAATTAATTCTACTACATTGAAATTAATTTTTTATAACCTTGCTCTTTTGGTCTCTTGTAAGCCCAACCACTGTCACTTTTTCCTCTCATAAAATTATAAACAAGAGTGTTTACCAAAGTGTTTACATTTCTCAAGTACCACAGCTCTGTACAAAAGATTTTCTTTGAGAGTAACTGGAAATTTATTCTAGCAAATGTATTATCATTAAACAAAAAAACTAAAAACATCTGGAAATGGTTTCTTTAATGTATGAGAAATGGCCTTATGCTGAAAATAAAACACTACTTAAGACTTCCAGCTCCTTTTAACAGCTATCCAACCCACTTTGATATCACCAAGGGAATATACGAGGATTTACGATTACATTTCCATGAAATGATGCAAGAGGGCCAGTACCTTCTTCATGTTTGGGATAAAATGAAATACCATTAATCAGTTCATGATGAGCTACTAAAGCTAGACGGAAATACCAAGTAAATCTGGGGCTTTAAAGTGACTTTAAAAATGCTGTTTGTCTATTGGGGAAAAAAAAAAGATTATGCATTTATGTCACAAAAATTATTTGTCCCTTGAGCTGAATCTTAAGTGGGCCATGACTGAATAGCCAAAGCTGGTGCTCAGCTTTCTAAAAGTTACAGAGTCAATCAGTCACCAATCTCTATGTGTATGTGTTAGAACATGCATACAGCAAATAAACATTTTCTAAATAAAGATTTACAACCCTTTTGACATCTAGAGACATCAAAAAAAAAAAAAAGATACAAGAAACATAGTTTCATATTTTCAGTATGGTATTTTCTTCAGGAGGAAGATACATATCAAGTCATTTAAGCCATAATGCAATGGAAAGGGGACAAATTTTGCTTACAGGGAGACCTGGGTTTGAAGCGTGATGCTGACATTTACTAGCCTGGTGCCCTGGCTGAGTTGCTCTACTTCCCTGAGCCTCCACTTCCTAATCTATAAAATAGCATCAATGATACTAATTTTGTAAGGTTATTTTGAAGACCCAAGAGAATGTATGAAAAGCCTCTAGCATGGTGCCTGGAGCAGAAAAGCACATGAATGGAAGCTGTAACTGTTATTATTATTATTAGGAACCACATGAAGATGGGTAAAGCACTGCCCCATCTCAAAATCACTAGAAAGAGGAGTTGGAGACAAGGTATAGAAACAACTGCAATTCAAGATGAAATGTGCTACAACAAGGAGTGGTACAAAGTTTTAAGTGCATTATGAAAAAATATCAGAGAAAAGAGCCACTAATATTCCCATCAAGTGGCCCTGGTGATGCAGTGGTTAAGTGCTTGGCTGCTAACCAAGAGTTTGGCAGTTCAAACCCTCCTAGCCACTCTGCAGGAGAATGACCTAGCAACCTGCTCCTGTAAAGATTATAGCCTAGGAAACCCTATGGGGCAGGTCTACTTTGTCACATGTGGTCACAATGAGTTGAAAGTCAACTCAACAGCACCTAACAACACAACACAATGTTCCCATCATGAATCGGCAATAGCAATTTTGACTTGGGGGAAGAATGGACAAGGAAGAGTCAGTCTGAAGGGCAGAGGGGTGTGGGTCAGAGGAGGTGGAAGAGCGAGTGGAAAGGCAGGCATGGCAGTGTGATACACTTGGCCACATAGTAAGAGTGGTTCAAGGTGGCCAACCCTTAGGATAGAAAAGGAGGAGATGCAGATGATAATGCGGCCAGATGAGCAGACACTGAACTGTAAAAGGCTGGGCTAAAGTTTGGGTTTTACCTGTAGTAGATAATGGAAAGCCACTGAAAGATTTTAACATCAGAGAAATAAGAACAAAATGTGTTTTGGAGGATGATTGCTTGGAGATGGAAATGCAAGACAGTGGAAAGAGCTACAGGCTAAGCTGTGCTCTGCCAGCAGTCTGTGTCCTCTCCTAACGCCAGCCTCTGGCTCTGCCCCTGCTCTCCCAATGCCAGTCTCTGGCTCTGCCCCTGCTTTCCCAACGCCAGCTGGTTCTGCCTTGCTCTCCTAATGCCAGTCTCTGGCTCTGCCCCTGCTCTCCTAA